CCACCAGGAACAAGTGCAGAGGACACTAGCTCAGCTCAAATGTATGAATTAATAGTGTCAATAGTAAATAAGCAACAGCAGAAAGTCATAGAGGAACTCAGAGCGGAATTCTTTTCTACTAGCTCAGCTCAAATGTACAAATTAATAGCGTCAATAGTAAAGAAACAAAAACTAAAAAGGCTGGCATATAGCTCAGTGATAGAGCACATCTGGGTTTGATCTCTAGTACCACAAAGAAAAACATAACTGAAATTGTTATCAATAAAACAACACATGATGTGAACTTCACATCACTACCACTTTAAAAAAATTTTTTTTAAAGTATAGCTTTACCAAACTATATACCAAGCCAACAAAAATTAATATATTTCAGTCACTTTTCCAATTGTCACAAAAGACTTTTCCTGTAAATATTCAAAATAGCTCAATAGCACATGAGTTTTCAGGTAGAAAAATAAAATCACTTTTAAAAATTTTAATTTTCCCAAATATGTGATGTGATAATGCATATATTTTGCTATAGGATTCTACATAGAACTTAAGCAGAAATGCCTCTGACTTACGGTGGTGAGCCTCTTGCCTCTATATCTTGAGTGCTAGGATTACAGACATGCACTACCCTACTAGGCTATATGATTAGAAATCTTAATAAATTTTACTGTTAACATGAGGCTACACTTATAAAGAAACATAAGTCATTCTTACGTGGGAGAAGGAATGTTTGGTACTTTATGGCGTAAATGTACCAGTCAGGGCCTGTTGGGAACCAGGTTACACAATGGGAGGTAAACTGTCAGGAAGAGTGTGAGGTTTCATCTGTATTTATAGTTGTTTCCTATCATTCACATTACCACCTGAGGTCCACCTCTTGTCAGATCAGCAATGGCACTAAATTTTCACAGGAGCACAAACCCTAGTATGAAATGAATGTGCAAGTGATCTAAGTTGCCCACTCTTTATGAGAATCTAATGCCTATTGATCTGAGGTGAAGCTGAGGCAGTGACAGCAGACCTGAGGGAAGACTACCAATACACATTAACATTAGTAGAGGCTTGACTGCACAGAGATACAATAAATTCATTGTTCCCAGATTCATATTAAAATCTTATTAGTAAATGACAAGTGACAAACTGCATGTGGTGGCAGGCTTTTAGTTAGAATCCAACATTTATTTTAGTCTGCATATGACCCATTCGTTTCATTTACCTGATGCTGTATTATAGTGAAATGTATAATTATTTTACTATATGTAAAAATAATAGAAATAAATACATGATAAATGTAATATGTTTAAATCATCATGAAACTATTCTAAAATTGTTGTCCATGGAAAAACTGTCTTTCACAAAACCATTCCTTGATGCCAAAGGTTTGGGACTGCTAGCTTAGGTAATATTCATGTTTCATCTGTGTTTGGGTATGGAGTGTCTGTTACTATCTTGGATTATCACAGGTATGGCATGATCTTATTTTGATGTTGACATCCTATAGAATTGTTTATCTTCAACAGAAGGATACCCCCGCTCAAAAAAAAAAAAGAGGCAGAACCTTTAGGCCGGAGAAGGCTCAGTGTAATAAGCACCTCCCTGGCAAGCGCAAGGGCCTGCGTTCAATCCCCGGTTCCGCCAAAACAAACAAACAAACAAACACAAGGATACCAAGTCACTACAAATGCCAGGCAAATTCCTACCAACACATTGTCCAGACAATAAAGGTCAATTTCTAGTTGTCACGGACACTTTTCCTCACCTTTAAAATCATGTTACAACTTACGCAAAACCATTTCTCGCAAATTACTTAGTGAATAAAAGACACTGGGTTGATAGGTAGAGCCTATGTAAAAAATGCAGCAAGAATGTTTATAACTTAAGGATTAAATTGCTAGAAAAATCAGCTGAAAGAAACCTAAATGGAACTACCTTCCTGACACTCTACAATGTATCACTCATAACTTTTTTTCAGAATATCATTAATAAGCACTTTTCCCAAGTTTGTTTGTTTCTGAAATAGTGTCTCATAGTGCTCCTCCTGCCTCAGCCTCTTGAGCGCTGGGATTACAGGCATGTGCCACAACGTTCAGCTTTCCAAGTATTAACAGGTATTTACAGAGTATGTAAAGAGATTTCCGTTTTACTGAAAGATCACTTCCACCACTTACTGATTCAATGTGATTGATGTGTCAGGCATATTCCTTCTTTCTCTCTGCCTAAAATTCCTCATCTATAAAATGTAACCTATTATGCTTTGCATCTAGATGTCCCTCCAAAGCCTCATGGGGCAGGCTTCTAGGGTTTATGATTGATTCATGGCCCAATACTGAGATTATGGATGTCAGTGCTGCACCCAACCTAGGGTGGATAGCCTATACACAATATAAGGGAGGAAAAGGGGCTTGCTTTCTGCTGCTCCCCCCTTTCTGTTCTTGTTGCTTTTGCTGTACACCCCCATGAACCACTCTGCCATGTGACACTCTGCCTTGGAGCCAGCTCAGTATGGACTGAAACCTCCACAAACTGTGAGCAAAATAAACCTGTCCTTACTTAATTCTGAGCATCAGGTATTTTGTCTCAGCAAAGAGAGAAAAGTAAGACACTATCTACTCCAGAGTTGTTTTAAAGAAAAAAATAAAATTCATTAATATGTATCTGACACCTAGAAATCACAAAATTATTTATTTTATCAATTGCTGCCATATTTCCGTAGTCATTGTTTGCATAAACATTCACTTCTCAAAAGAAAGCCTCTTTTAGCTGATGGGGTCTAGCTCAGTGTGCAACACCTGATTGGCATGCTTGAAGCTACTGGTTCAGTCCCCAGGACTTTAAAAAAAAAAAAAAAAAAAAAAAGGCAAGCTTCCAAACACAGCACCTCTAAATCATAAGTTTAAGTCATTAGTACTTATTATATGAGTAGAAATATGAGAAGACCATAAATTATCCATTCTTCTAAGATTAGAAAATTAGTGTACTCAATTCTTTCCCTCAATTTCATAAATCAGTGTTTGAAAATTTGATGGTTCACATCGACATCCAGTCTTCCCCCAAATCTAGTTTTTTAAAATCCTATAATCTTGAGAACCACACTCTCAACCAATATGTTCTGGGGATGGGGAAATAGATCAGCAGTCTAAGCGCCTGCCTGACAAGCGCAAGGATTGGGGCTCAATCCCCCGAACCGTGTGCTGTCCAGGACCCAGAACCCCAGGTGTGCCACGCCAGCCACCAAAACCAGCATGGTGGTGGACTCCTGTGATCCCAGGGCTGGGGAGGCTGAG